TACATGATAGAACCTGATTCTTTAATTATATAGTCAAATAGAATTTAAACATTGTTCTTATCCCATTGAATAATTTTTGATTATTTCTCTTTGGATTCTTTCTCTTTGGATTCAATCTGTAAATATTTTTTCCATGGAACAGGGTGGTTTTTTAAAAAAAATATCTGTCTGTCTATCTATCAATCTAGAATGATATAGGTTATAAGTATGCATTCCCAAACTAGCAACTAATGTTGATGTGGTATCAATTACTGCAGTATTTTTCCAGGCCATAACTGGGATCCTGTCTTGACAGGTGCTAGATCAATATATTTGAATACCAACATTTAATCTATACTCTTTTGTTTAAATTGCATTGCCTTTTTTAAAAAATCCATTAATGTACCCTGTTATTGTATGAGTGTATGGTTTAGAAAAATGTTGCTGGTTATATTGTGGGTGTAGCGCACTGATTATGTTGTAGTCTTTTCCATTTGTAATAAAAGTTAATGCAGCTGTTTTGGGGGCAGCTGTATAAATGCAACCCAATTGTAGGAAAGACTGTTTATTCATTAAAATATGGCTAGGGGGCTGAAAGAAAGCTGAAGTTATTAAAGCACAACTAAAAGTCAGTTCCAGTAAATAGAGAGATGTTAAAGATTAAGAGCAGATACCATTGCTGCATTATAGGTATACACTTCTAATATAAGAGTTTAAACTTTGTTTCTGTTTCTCCACTGTTGCCATCCTTCCTTTTTCTATAAAAGGAAGAGAAATAAGTAGAAGTGGAAGGGTAAAATGAAATGTTTGTACCTATGTACAAGCGACCCTGGTATTTCAGACTCTAAGTGGTGTGATGTGTGTCTATGTATTAGTGTTTAAATAAAGGTAAATTCCAGAAACATTGGTTTAAAGGAAAGGAAGTGCTTGCTAAAGGCACCTCTCTTCCACTAGAGGGATTATGGAATTATAGAACTCTTTAGAAAATACATCAGGAGTTGGCCCATGATAAACTTTTATCAGTGATTGGCCATTGTTACTTGTATTTATGTAGCCTTATGGTAGCAAGAGGTCACAGTTCCATGAAGATAAATTCCTTATTAGACTCAACTGCGATCTGAGGTCATTGCATATCTGTGCCAGAACAGACTTAAAAGTGATGGCGAATAGGAAGTTTTTGTGCTGCATTGTCCTAGTTTACTGAGTCTGGAGCCAGACAGCATTTGGACCAATATCAGCATGGACTAAAGCCGGCATATCTTTCTCTTTGCTCATCACGCAACAATGAGTAAATAAACAGTGTCCGCCATTGCAGATTGAACTGTCAGCCCAATTAGGCATGCAAGTGTCCCAATGTGCCGCATTTCCTATATCTTTACCTATTGCTTCCACAACTCATGTGCCTGGAAGCTGATTTTAGACAGACATGGCAGTATTCAGGCACAGATATATGGCTAGAAGGGGTCAGGTCTGTTGTGTCAACACTAATCCTTCCTGCCTATTATCAGACAGTTTGACATTTGATTCATGTCAAGTTTAGGTGTCCACTGGAAGCTGAATAAGATAACTTTTTGCCCTGCTTTCCTCCAATCACAAAAAGACTTTGTGCTTTCTTTACTCCATAGACCAATCCAGACGACTGAGGTCAGGGTCGTGGTGATTGGTTGTTGTTGTTTTTTAAAAAAGAAAGTATTTCTCACAAACATCCTGTTACTTGCTATTTTGTCCTATGTAAATCATGCAACACTTTGCTTTCCCTTGATATTTGGTTGTCCTTCTCAGAAATGGATCCCTGTGTAGCACTGGAAATCCAAATATATGAATGAAGATTTCTCACTCCCTGTCAGTGTGTTTATTCAATGCATTATGACTGTCAGTTAAAGATGGCTATTTACTGAGTGATTAGGTGTGACCATTGTAACCTTGGGTTTTCAAAGCACATTGAATTCCAGTGGTGAAAGAATGTGTTTGCCATGAAGTGTACCATGTTTTGCAAAAAGGGAGGTCCTATTATGTGTTGTATGTGAGAGAAGATTTATTCCCATAAAGGGTAGCAATGGGTTTCTCATTAATTTATTTCACAGTCCTAATAAATATGGAGAACTAATCAGCTTGCTATTGGCAAATTATAATAATCAGCAAATTATTGACCTAAATACCATTAGAATTTGATTTTATTTGCTGTGATTTCATGACTTTGACTTCCAGTGCACTGTAAATTGCAGACTGCTTTCCTAGATTTGGGGTCCCTGAAATGGTTAAGCCATGTTACCAACTTAAAGATGGGAGACCACCTTAGCTCCCTTTTAATAACCCCAACCGTATACCTGTTAAGGCATGGATGGACAACTTTATCCTTCCCATTATTAGCCTAAATCCAGTTGTTCATCTCAACCAGAATAAACTTATTGAATTTATTGATTGATGGTATGTTGAATTATTTATTTAATTTATTTATTAACTAATGTTATTCCCATTTCTTCAATGGGCCTACTTTATTTGGTACTAGCTATTGGATTAGATCTCAATTGGACTGGAACACTTGTTCCATCCTAATATTGGCTTATGTGGCTAGTGACTGATGACAGATCCTGCCTAAAAACATCTAGTGAGCCAAATTTATCAGTACAGTGTCAGTTCTTGGGGTTTCTCTTCCCACACCCTCTTTTCATGAGTAGATTAGGAGCCCATTTCTGGTAGTACTTTAGTCTTCACGTTTGGCATGAATCTAATGATTTGGGTGCCACAAATTCCATACACACACCCTTTTCTAGAATGAGAGCTTAATGCTTCAACTCCCTACTTTCCAGATGCCAAGAAGTTCCCTCCTTTCTGTGGTCTTGATAATCTGCATGGGGTCTTAAACAGTGTGGTTACCATGAGAGGTGTTGGGATTTAGTTAAAACTTGATTTGGTGAATCTCTTTCACAGCATTTAAAACTGAGCTAAGGCAGAAACTGGCAGCCTTATTGCATCACAAAAATAAGCTGAGATGCAGCGATAGAGAAATGGCTGTTTGCTTATCTCTCCACATGCCCTCTCAGGCACTTCTGTTCTATTCCAGAGGGAGACAGTAATAAAAGCTTGCCTTTTGTCATGCTGGAAAAATCTATTTGGCAAAAGGTATGCTTTTACAACTGTTTACTTCTGGGGGGAGAAAGAAAGTGCTATAATTTCATGCAGAGAGGTAAGCAGAAAGCCACTTCTCTTTTGCTGAATCTCTTCTTACTTTTGTAACGTAATAATGCTCTTAGAACAGAAACATCAGCCACCTCCTCCACATATTTATCTAGCTGAGTAAAAGAAATTAAACTTGGTCATCTTCAAAAGGTATAAAAAGTAGTTTTACTCAATAATTTGACATGCATTATTCAACTCACAGGTTTGCCTACTTGCTAGGTGAGAGAAGAAGAAATCTACATATTAGCAGGAAGAAATGGAGCTTCTCTTCAGGATAGCTTCTAATACCATGCTTCATGGTGGGCAGTTAGGAAAAGAGAGAAGCATACAGACAGGTCAGGGGAGAACAAAAGATGTGTACATGATTCAGGAAGAGTGACTGTATGTAATCAAACAGACAGGATGTTTGCAATAAACATTCTTTCCTCTAAACTCCTAGAGAGAACATGCACTTTAACTACAATAGACTTCAGGCATGAAAAGCTGCTATCTCCAACCAGACACTTCTGAATCTGGGAGTACACACAGCACTGTCTAGTTCATAACAAGGTTGCCCTAGAAATATAATGCAACAAAACTCAGTTCTGAATTGCATGTGTGTGTGCACATGAGCATATGCATGTCTCATGCTTGGACAGGCAAGAGGGAAGGAGGGTGGGAAAAGGGTGGACATGCCAGAAGAAGATAAGCAACCAATTCAGTAATCATGCAATAGTGGATGGGAGACTTTGAAAACACTGTAACCTTTGGCAGAAGACTTCACATACATTTGTGTGTGAGTTTTGCAAAACAGTTTAAAATGCTAGTTTAAGGAGATGTGGCTTCACACCTTTCCTAAAAGCAGAATGATTTGAGCAACATTACAATCATGAGATCCCAGTTGCCTGTATCTCTCCTTCTGGGAAAAAACATCAGAATCAGCATGATGTGACTAATGGACAACCTTTTTCCTTCAGGTTTTAGCATCAACATGAGGTCACAATGGCCAGCCTCTCTTCTTCAGGCAAGTAGCAGTATGATGAGCCTGAAGGAGCCAGTCTAACTTCTTTGGGCAGGCAGCATCAACATGAGCATTACAAGAGCCATTCTCTCTTCTTCAGACAGTTTGTCATCTCTGTTTCCTTTTAAAGCAAGCAACATGAAAAGTATACGAACACAGTCTCCATTTTTTTTTCTCTTTCTCAACCAGCAGCAAGTGAATACAGTATTTTTTTTTCTCAGTGAGGGAGCCACGGACATATGTAGGTTCAGAGACCATCTTGGTCATTGATGCAGCAGTCAAGGAGAAAGGAACTGCCAGGTAAGAACCCAGCTATTCCACTTAAATTGACTAGAGAGGCCTGTTTGTTCATCCCAACTACAGTAGACCTATTCAGTCTGTTGAATGATGAGTCAACATTTTATGTCTTTGGAGGCTAAAGATTCTAAATTGGACTCAGTCAGGTGACAGGTCCACATAGGTAAGGGCACCCAATCACAGCCCAAGCTTATTATAATAATATGGTCTGGTTTCTTTCCATGGAGCTAGATCAGTATCAAATATGGGGAATGAATGACAGTGAGTCTCCTTACTGGTCTCCCTCACTGTCTTTGGACTAGATTTACATTGAGAGAATATGTTGAGCATGCATGCCTACTACACATACTCAAAACATTTTGTTTTAGTGGAAGAGTGTGTGTGTGGGGGGGGTGTCCCTTCAAGTTGTTTCTGACTTATAGCAATGATGAGATAAACCTTTTATGGGGTTTTCTTAGCAACATTTGTTCAGAGGGAGTTTTCCATTTCCATCCTCTGAGGCTGTGAGCATATGACTTGCCCAAGGTCACCCAATGGGTTTCATGGCCAATCAGGAGTTGAACCCTGGTCTCCAGAGTCACAGTCCAATGCTCAAACCACTACGCCATGATGGCTAGCAGTGTTCAGTGCAAGTAGCAGCAAAGTTACATGCCAGCCAGACCACATAGGTAAAGGCTTGGTGATGGCAAAAGAGGAGAAGGAGATGGAGCGTGAAACAGCAAATGAAGACGTTACCCCCTTTTGTCCTGTGTGTATATGCCTTCAAGTGAGCTGTTGACTTATGGTGATTCTCTGAATTTAATAGGGTTTTCTTAGGCAAGGAATCCTCAGAAGTGGTTTTGCCAGGTCCTTCCTCTGAAACATAGCCTACAGCATCTGGTATTTGTTGACCAGACTCCAATCCAAGTATGAATCAGTTCCAGGACACACCTC